TGTGTGTCACATATGTATTCAGTGTCTCCTTTTAGCAATGTTTATGTGTTTAATTAAATAGGTAAATAATATTCATAAGCAATTTTACGTGAATTGACTTACTGTAACAAAACGCTAATCAACATACACTATATAATACAAAAGAATAATGTGCTTTCTATGAATCTTAAGGCTATTACGTAATATTCTGTCAGTTCTCATCATTAATTAAAGCGCTTATCTCTGACTTCTTAGTGTAGGCTTCAAATAACTAAACTGTTACATTAAAATATTCTAACTAGCTTAGATAACACTAGAAATGACCTGAAAATGTAAGTTAACAAGTATAAAGGTTGTAAAAATCAAGAAACTTTCGTCGGTACAAACTTCACTTCTACCTAAAGTTTGTACTGATGATTTCGTTCAGATAAACGATACAAGCTCCACGACTAAACTATCCAGGTCAGAGAACAAAACTTCATCAAAATCATCCACTTGAGCTGCAAATCTTTTCCACTATCTCAAACGAAATTAATGTTTCTTATGATTCTTCTTTCAAACCACGTGGTTTTCACTGTATAGTCAAGCTTTTACTTGATAATTGGTAAATATTTAAAAACACTGAACCATATTATTATCTACAATAAGATGATTACCAACTTGTAAGTCTTTTTGAGTTATGTTTAGAAAATCTAAGTACCATTATTGTAGATCGTGATTAGCTCATCAATGAGAAATAGTCTTGTGAGGCCAGTGAAATATCACTGAGTCCTAACTGGCAGTTGGGTTAATGAATGTCGAACAGTTCATAGATCCTCATCAACTTTAAAGATAACCAATGCGTATTAGTTAATCTTATGTCATGAACTGGTCCATACAGTGGTGGTCTTACTATCTTCTCTGTACTAATATATATTTCCGTAATAACGTCCTTTGTATTATACGGTCTTCAAAACAGCTATAATACCTTGATAAGTCGAAGTGGTAATCCAAATTAAGTGCTGACCCGGAGGTGTGACTCCGAAGTTAAACTTCGGTTACACCATTCTTGTTTAACTAGAATAGGCCTCCAATTATTCGACATAGATCATCTACACTAATCAATTTCTCACTTTGATAAATACTCCAAGCAGTGACTTTAATCAGTCAATTTTCATTCAAAACGAGATCAAACTCAAATATGCATTTTATTTTCTGATGATTGATCTGATAATTAATTAAAAATTACAATGATAAATAAAATAACTAACAATTTTACTATCAAATTTAGTATAAAAATAAGAAATTACAAACTTCACAATATTTTCTTTTGAGCAAACTTTGAATACTACTTAAATGAAAATTAAGTAGAAAGCTAAATATCACTAAAAATCAGCATCATTTTCTACCGAATCCATCTATGGAAAGTAAGAAATCAAAGTGAAATCAATTGGTGAGTGTGTCAATGAAACTAAAAATGAAAATCTAAATTCAGTAAACAAACAAATTAAAAGAAGGAAAATTGGGTATCATTTATTTCAATTGTAGTCAACAATGGAATACTTTTTGTTGCCCCTCATCTGAATCTAATTAGATAGGACAAATGAGTGATTACTGTCGAAATATATGTCCTGATTATTCTCGCATATCTTTATCGACTTAACTGACAATGCTGAATAACGGAATTAAAAAAGTCAACTATGGGGATGGATGTTTGAGTACGTATATTTTGTACACTCATTGATCTGAACAGGCAATCAGAGAATCTCAGCAAATAAGGAGAAGAGAGAGAGAAAAGAAACGACAGGATGCTCAATGGAGGAATCGAATGAGACAACTCGACTTAATCAAGCGTTAATCGATGTTTATAGTCAAAAATAAGCTACATGCATGTGATGAGTAGGATAAGACGTGTACACACAGACAATCATATAAGAACAGTCAAGGTTGATAAGTGAATAATTAACAAGGTCAGAATGTAGCTTGTGGAGAATGGATAGGTTAGTTTGTCCAGAAGCAATAATATTTTATATGGGCTTGAAGTAGTAACCGACACTACAGCTGGATAGGAGTTTTCTCTTATTTTGGATTCATCAGTTAAATAAACCTATATCACATTGATAATTTTTTCCTGGTTAGAGTTTTTTAAAGAGTTAGTTTTCTACGGAATAGAGTCGCTAACCTCATGCCCAACCCTCCTCCTTTACCCGGGCTTGGAACCGGTAGTAATTCTGGAAGTGCTACACGCGGAGTTAAGACAGTTCTATTGTACGGAGCTGAAACTTGGAGAACTATCATCAAGAGTGCTGATGTTTGACCTATGCTCCTCCACGAGGAGAAACAGGATTAAGCAGTAAGTAATATCTCATTGATAGTATTCATTATTTTTAAAATTTGATTATAGAAACACATACTTGTTTGGATCTGTGTACTTAAAATGGCAGTTAACATGTACGTATTCGATTTGGATACATTGGATTTTAGATTTGATCTATTCTCTTCAGTTTATTGACGTAAATTTCCAACAGCAATAGTGGTTTATTACAACAAATTTCTCTGTGAAATGATTTCAAGCCCTAATTATTAGTCCATCGAAAGAGCTTTATAGGGTAGTACAATTTAATTGTTTTTTTTCTGGTTAGCGTTTTTTAGAGCAAATAGCTTTATATGGGATGGGGTCGCTAACTCCATGCCAAACATTCTTCGTTTATCCGGACTTGGAACTGTCAGTAACCCTTAGAGGGGCTTCAGGCGGCCTATCCTCCATTGAGAGGAACAGATGTAAACAAGGTAATACATTCATCATTTGCCACCTGTTGTTTGTAAGATTTTAGAAATAAAATGTATTCATCAGCTTGCTTTATCAAAGGATGGATTGTAAGTAAAGTATCTTACTAACTTCAGTGTTTTTTAAAGTTTTTCAGATCTTTTTAAAACATTCTGTATGTAAATTTGTTTGTAACTCACTATGCTGCTAAAGTTAAAACCATAAGTCATGGAGTTCTAATTCTAAAACGGATTGATCTTGTGCTCACTGTACAATTTAAGTATCTTTGAAGATTATATTCCTTATAGTGTCATGGAAGTTTTCATATTTTGAAAGTTCTAGCGAGTTATGACTGATGAAGTTCAACCATGTTATGAGAGAATTATCTGAATTAAGGATATTGAATCCAAGGTTAGTGTTCTAAACTGTAAAACACTAGCAATGGAGCGTAAATAACATGGGTTCATTTGATCATTATGGTTGCGAGTAATTGATTCTGATGAGTCCCATGTTGTGACGAAACAGGTCTATCAGCCCATTTTGTTTTCAATGATTTCCAAGTCTATCATGGTTTGAAACCAAACCTTCAACTTTATTTTACACTGTATCGCGTCAACACCTAAACTAAGGATAGGAAGTGGAGTAGTCGAACGAGTCGACAAGTTTGATCAGCGCTAATGGGTTAATATCTGAAAAAAACTCTGCAAGGATTTAGAAAGCTCGTTTGGCTTTTACTAACTTACGTCACCTATGACGAAGGCGAAATATCCATATATCAATTAAGGCATGACTATACTGAGCGGCAGTTCATTCTGTTCTAATTTACGGCTGCGAAACGCCGCAATTAGGAATAGAACATACTCGTAAGCTATTAGTATTTGACCACAGATACCTTATTAATACTGCTCGCATCTTCCGGGATCACCGCATAAGTAATAGTTAGGTTAGAAGTAAGGTATTAAAAAATGATGGTAAATCATTTGATGAGGTTGTGAATCTTCATCGATTGAGATGGTTAGGCCACGTGTTACGTATGCCTGAACACCGATTATTACGACGTGCAATGCTAACCGGTGTTGGAGATGGTTGGAAGAAAGTTAGGAGTGGTCAAACCAAAACGTGGTATCAGTGCTTAAAATCACTAAGTACTAGTCTGTTTGTCCCCACCCGTGTTCTCATTCACTACATTTGGTGTCGCTGCCAACTGGGAGAGGAGGAGGGTGCTGTTCTGCGGGCGCCGTTGCGGGCCTGGAGGTGAGGTGCCAGGTAGGGCAGTCTGGTGCGGAGAGTTGGCGTCTGGTGGAGTGTTCTGGCTGGGCGGCGTTTGCCGTAGCGGGTGCTGTGGGACGCGAGGCTGCTGGGCGGACATCGGATGTAGATGGCTCAGCAGGCCGGTGGAGTACGGGTGTCCCAAGTGCCGGGTGGACGTCGGTTGTTGTTACCCAGGCAGTTCGACGGAGCTATGAAAGTCAGCGCGCCGCAGACTCGACATTTTGACGGAGAGTATGGCACAGACTGCAGAGACGGAGAATGTTGCACGGCGAGCATGAACCACCACAAGAACGACTGCTTTAAAGGGGGGGACGAGTGTGGTGTGAGCTACTTCTAATGACGTAAGTAGTATATAACGTGCGTTAAAGGAACGTAATTTCTAGCAGCAAAAATGACGAAGACCAAGAAAGATGGAGGGAGAACATAATGGAATTTGTAAGAAAACCAATGTTCAATGGAATGGGAGTCAATGGTTTGGTGTTGGCAACACAAACAATCCAGTTTGATTTGATGCGTGAATATTTTGAAAATTGACGATTTAATATATGGTATTCAGATATTGTTGAAATAGACTGTAATTGTTGTGCTAAATACATCCGTTTGTCCCCACCAGTGTTCTCGTTCGCTACATTTGGTCAGAGTCCGCGTGATTATCGTAATCAATGGTTGAAGACTCTGGATCACATAGCTCAGAATCGATCACAATGGAGTGGGTTGTGTATGCACTCTCTATCTTCCCTTAATCTATGAGATTGAAATCGCTTCATATCTTTCTTTTTACGAACTAATTCTTTCTTCCAGTACTGTATCCTCATATGCAATCTTTCTTTTTTATATTACTACCATTGAAGTAACTACCTCTATAAATTTGGTGTTCATCTTGTGTTAATGAGTTATGGCAACTTGAATGGATGCATATCTATGCCTGGCCCTACGTTGTAGCTGACTGACCGATACTAATATATATGTTTAATGAAGAAGATTATTCATTTCAACTAACCTCTTAATCTTTAACAATAATTTGTAAATTTGATAATTTCAATCTATCAGCTGGATAAATAATTTGTCCATAATCATGTTTATATGGATTCATTACAGATAATGATGATGTGATACTTAGCTTAATAGGATTTATTCTTTTTCTCATATGAGTTTCGTCAATTTCTTTACAACTTTCATCAGGAATTTTTATTAATGAAATGGAACATTTCGCATCACGTGAACAATTTCGATTAACCAATGATAAATGTTTAGTAATTGAATTTGAATGAAGCAATTGTTTATCTTCTGTTAAGTAACTAATGGGGAGAAAAAAAGGGAAAACAGAAAACATTTCACAGAGAAACAGGGAGCAAAACCAACAATCCTTTATAAGGATTAATAAGAAACAAATTGAAACGTTTATACAATCAGATTGCTTGATAAATTTTAAACAGACAAGCGTTTCATCCTATTTAGGACTCATCAGCTGAATATATCATAGTAATCAGATGAATAGGGATATAAAGTGTATGAATGAATATAGTAAAAATCGATGTGTATTTATATGTTTTGAAGTAATAATTAAGAGGTTATGTAAACGCATTGAAATAAACAAGTAATTCGGTAATCGCTCAATATGATAAAATAAATAGGATGGTGGTTGGAGGTAATCAACAGGTAACTCTGGATCCAGTTTCGTGCTAGTTGGCACTCATCAACGAGATGTATCTGTAATCTTGAGGGAGATGGTGTTCTCTGGCGGATTCGATCCCGTGTCACTCAGCTTCACAGTCAAAGGTGTTACCGTTGAACTGAGATGCATTCGCCGTTGATTGCTAACTGAGTGGTGATCAATGTCAACGTCATCTTATCTCAACATAGTGTACCCAATATCGAGTCACCTAAACTAGTGTCTATATTGAAACATGGTCGATAGCATTCGATCTGCACTAAGAAGGACCTGAGACACCACATTGACCACTACTCAGTGAACGATAGTCCAGTGCTAACATCTCTGACTGTGTAAGCTGGATGACACGAAATCGAATACGTCAGGGAGCATCAGTTCTCTCAAGATTACAACTTTCTGATCGATCAATTTATGGATAAAATGAAGAAATATGTGAAAATCAATCAGAATATGTAAGAGATGAAAAAATAATAAAAAAGTAGAAATCTTGGTAACAGAGGTTATTAGACAAATATCTGACTACTATTGCAGGAAATAGCTCATCGAATTTCCGTTTTGTATACATAAGTCAAGTCTGAAACTTTTGATAGGACACCCATTGAGGAAAGCAGTTAACTGCATCACAATGCAAGCCCTCACTTGGAATCCGCAAGGCCAAAAGAGGAGAAGAGGAAGACTAAAGAACACATTTCACTGAGACAGACATGAAAAAAATAAACAACAATTAGATAGAACTAAAAAGGAAGGCCCGGGACAGAGTCGGTTGGAGAATGCTGGTCGGCAGCCTATACTCCACTGGGAGTAATAGGCGAAAGTAAGTAAGCTTCTCAACAAAGCAAGATTGATGTTTTTTGTCTATTGATTATTTTTAATGCACCACTAACATTCAATTCATGTCCACTATTGACAATCTATTGGAAAATTGGTAAGTCGATGGAGTAACCATGATATCATCATTAGAGCCTATCTTGAAAAATATCTTTATAGTTAGCTATAAACGAATTAAACTAAAACATGAAATCCAGAACACAACATACTACTCGAGATATGTTGATGAGACCTCTATTATTTGTGATGAGATGGATCACACTTTTGGGTAATTAGTCACTTCAACAATCCTCATCATCACATAACATTTACAGTGAAATATGAAAAAGATAACAGATTGAATTTTTATTATTTAACATCCAAAACTAATCTTAGTAAAACAAGCATAATAAACTAAAATAATATTGGAAATTTATTTTCTCCTAGTATAAGACCTTAAAATAGAACATATCCATAACCTCGCTGAAGATTGAGCTCAGCCACCTTAGAACTCTCAATAGAGCTTAACTTTAAATTCAGTCAGTTGGCTACAACGTAGGATCAGGAATATATATGCATCGATCCAAGTTGCCATACCTTATTAACACAAGATGAACACCAAATTTATAGAGGTAGTTAGTTCAATGGTAGTAATATATAAAAGAAAGATTGCATATGAGGATACAGTACTGGAAGAAAGAATTAGTTCGTAGAAAGAAAGATATGAAGCGATTTCAATCTCATAGTTTAAGGGAAGATAGAGAGTGCATACACAACCCACTCCATTGTGATCGATTCTGAGCCATATGATCCAGAGTCTCCAACCATTGATTACGATAATCGCGCGGACTCTGACCAAGTATTTTGCATCTACCAACATAGCTCGGACTAGTACTTAGTGATTTCAAGCACTGATGTCACGTTTTGGTTTGGCCGCTCCTAACTTTCTTCCAACCATCTCCAACAGCGGTTAGCTTTGCACGTCGTAATAATCGGTGTTCAGACATACGTAACACGTGGCCTAACCATCTCAATCGATGAAGATTCACAACCTCATCAAATGATTTACCATCATTTTTTAATACCTTACTTCTAACCTAACTATTACTTACGCGGTGATCCCGGAAGATGCGAGCAGTATTAATAAGGTATCTGTGTTCAAATACTAGTAGCTTACGAGTATGTTCTATTCCTAATTGCGGCGTTTCGCAGCCGTAAATTAGAACAGAATGAACGGCCTCTCAGTATAGTCATGCCTTAATTGATATATGGATATTTTGTCTTCGTCATAGGTGACGTAAGTTGGCAAAAGCCAAACGGGATTTTTGAATTTGTGCTGAGATTTTGTCAGACTTAACTTTAAAACATCAGGATCAATATCTTATAGTTTCTATTGTTTAACTTCAATCGATTCTCAGACATCTCTCAATATCATTGAATAAAAATAAAGAGAATTCAATGAAGAAATCTTTTACTTTTTGATGAAATCATCTACTTAAGCTGTAAATTCGTATTTATAGTTATTGTGGAAAATATATGAGTCAATAGAAGGATACAAAAAATTACATTATAAATTGATTCGAGACTCTAATTATCAAATGAGATTATGTTATTATCAATTAATAAGTAAATTAGAAACATTGTACAATTACAAAAATGAAACAGTAATGAGAAATCATCTCATAGAAATCAAACAATTATTCAAATGAGAAGTCAATTGAAACTTTTCTGATTCCAACCTCTGTCAGTAGTACTAAATATATTAACTATGATACTTCATATTTATCAAGATCAATAGACCATATACTAACCTGAATGCACTGGACAACCATTTCGTCCAATTGTGAGACTCCTTAGGAATGCACGTCCACGATCCCGTCTAGGAAGATTCGGACCCAGAACCCATCAGTCTCGCGCGCGTGCGCTTAACCACTAGACCACTGGATGGGCATCCACTGTTTAGGAGTCCCATAATAGGACGAAACAGATGTTTAGTGCTTACAGGTTTTCCGCAGTAGTCTAGCTTCGATTGGCTCATGATCTGAACTATTAAAATTACTATAATACCCACAAAACCCCTTCTGATATTAATCGTAATTGTTAATGCTATTTGATCTTTGCTTTCAACATTATTTCATATCCAGCCTCTTTTTTTGTATATTATTTATGTTACTTACTAATAAACAGTAGTTTAGTTTAGTTACAATCAATTTAGCACTTATTGCTTGCATGATCAATTGGTCATTTTATGTATATGAACGAATCTGTGAAATTTAATAATTATTTGTGTGATTGTATGCTCATTTCCACTGGTTCATATCTAATTTTGATGAATTTGTTAAATATTTATCTCAACATAATGTTCTCAAATATCAAGTCACCTAGACTAGTAACCACATAACATCTTGGTCGATAGGATTCGATCTTCACCTAAGAAGGACTTGATATACATGGCATTGATTAGTACCCAACGACCCATCAATTGTAGATAATTTCAATATTTAGTGTGTGTAGTTCTTGTTTAAATTTACTGACTGTTGTATTTGACATAGCTACTGGATATTACTTAATTTATCGTGTATCGTGAAGATCGAAGGAAAATGAGAACAGAGAATGATTGATATGGAAACGAAAGAACAGTGAAGTCTGAGACGATTGATTTATATTTTGTCAATGAAGAATTTACTATGTGGTCTTAAGATTTTACAAAGAGATTCTGTAATTTTGTATTCAAATACATTTGATTATCCCCTTTTGTGTTCTCGTTCACTACATTAACTGCTTTAAACTGATACTTGGAAACAGGGAGGATAACTGAGTTTTGCAAAATGCAAGAAAATAAAAAAAAACACTAGTCTACCATTAAAAAGTTCATTTACCTTCCAAAAACAAAACAACAAACACTTATTATAATCAGAAGTTAGACATTAACATCACCTGATACCGGCCGGCTCAATGGTCTACAAGTTAAGCGTTGGTGTATGAGACTTGCAGATCCTGCGTTCAAATTCCGCTTTTAAAATCAGCGATGCGCACTGCTGAGGAGTCCGATGCTGGGACGAAATGGCCATCCAATAGTGATCTAACTTACATCAACAACACTTACTAGCTGAATAAATTGATTCACACATAGATAGTTTTTGGAAATAGTGAGAATAAGTAGAAAAGATCACATTCAATTGAAATAGAAATTATGTAATTTTTAAAAAAAAAAATATCCTAATAGAAACTTACTTATCTGGTATTATTAAATTGTAACTTGTTAGTAGCTATTCATGAGGAAAGATGAAAGAAAACAAAACAAACAGTTTTGATCATTTGGGTGAACTGTATGTGATAAATGATAGATAAGTTTCAAAGTTTGAAATTATTTGTGAAACTTCCTTCCTTCTTTACTTACTTACGCTTGTTACCCCACATCGTGGAGGAACATAGGCCACTCACCAGCATTATCTATTCAACTCTATCATAGGTATCTGTTTCCAATTAAGATTCATCCTTTTAATGTCTGCTTACAATTCTCGGTGTATTGTGTTCTTTGACTTCCCTCTTTAATGTTTAACTTCAGGATTTCAAGTTATTGCTCATCTGTTGATACAGTTTGGTGATTTCTATAATGTATGTCTTATTCAATTCCATCATCTTTTCCTAATTTCCTCTTCAACTGGATATTGATTTGTTCTCTCTCATAGTAGGGTGTTGCCCGTGGTATCCGGCCAACGGACATTGAGTTTCTTGAGAAGACAACCGTCTAGAAATACTTGTACCTTTTTGATGATGGTCGTGGTAGTTCTCTACGTTTCAGCTCCAGACAGTAGATCTGTATTGACTTTAGTATTGAATATTATGACTTTGATATTGGCTTGCATACAGTTGTTTTTAGTTCCATGTGGTGTTCAGGCATACAAATACTGTCCTTGCTTTGCCGATTCTTACCTAGACGTCTTCATTAGATCCTCCTTCATCGTCAGTGATGCTCATCAGGTTCGTAAAAGTTTCCACATCTTTCAGAGCTTCTTCATCAATTGTCATTCAGTTGATTTTGATCTTTCTTTTCCCCTTGTGTATGTTAGAGCCTGTAGCTTTCCTAAGGTCAGTGTCGGTTTCAAGCCTGAGTAAGGAAGGAGGGTCAGGCATACGATCAGCAACATTATTCCGTGGAAAATAATCTTTCTAAAAATTCGCTAACCAGAATAAACAAATTAAACCATTTATTTGTAAAACCTATTTAATATAACGCTCAGATTTCTCATTTTACATTAAATGGATACCAATTTGCTTAGGATGAACACTGAACGATTTATCTACACATATAATGCATTCCCTTCACATCAGACACACTACTAGCACGATTCTACTGGACATCAATAAAACTCGTTTCAAGAACATGTAATTCACTTGACACATCTAATGCTTGTCAGGCTATTTACCAGTCTGTTTAAGTAGACCACCAGTCACTTTCTCTCATCCACACAAGGCTTTTTGAATTTGGGTATAGCGAACTGACGCTTCATCGTAGTGTGAAGCTGAGTAAGAGTGCATATCACGACGTTTACATATGTTGAGTTTGATTTCTGTTTGAGATCAGCAGTGTACACTAATGAACAATTCATAACTATAATGAATCAAATATTTATTACAACAGGACTAAACAGCCGTCCAGTGCTTCCAGTTTTTCCATGATGGTCTAGTTTCAATTGACTTATGATCTCAACTGTTAAAATTTACTACCATAGTTGAATTTATGAGTCAACTAAAGATAGACCACTATGGAAAACCTGAAAGCACTAGACGGCTATTTCGTCATAGTATGAGACTACTCAGCAATAAGTATCCATGATTCCATTCGTGGAATTCTACAGAAATTTAAATTCAAGTTTATTCATAGGAGTTTGTTTCCCATAAATTCAGATAATTACTGAAATAAATAGCTTCACAAATCTTTTAGATTGTTGAAAACACTTCCATCAAGCATTAGATCTTTTGAAATCTTCAAGAGAAATCTAGATACAAACCAATTATACTTTGTTACCATGAATGAACAATCACTAGTTTTAGCGTGTTTTTCAAAAGTTCCTAGAACCTGTAAGCTACAACAACATCTTATATCATTGTACCTTCATTATTGTTTCACTTGTATGAATATATATGCTTGAGTATTGTTTACCGCCTTCATACATATTTATTCGGCTAGCTTTAGTATTATTCATTTAAATGATTCAATAAATCATTCATTTTCCTATATACATTTTAATCCTGTTCATTGACTATACTCACTGGTTCACTTCAGCACTTCAGCAATCATATATGATTTTTACTTTATGTGCCTATGGTTTTGATGATCTTTATGTAGTGCGATCATAAACATAATCAACATTTTGTATTTGTCTTCTGAATTATACACTGTTGAAACGAGGGGCGTTATCTAGTAACGGTTATCAGGATGAGTAGCATAAAAAGTTTAAATGTCAATTAATGTCATTACATTTTAGTTAAAATTAATTGCTTCTTTGAAATTCAAAAGAAAAACACTGACAATCTGAGTAGTTTAATATTGAACTGGGAATTGGCCAGTCACTTGATTGTATTTGGACCCTAACACCAAATCCTACAAATCTGCTAAAAGGGGAGGTGTTAGCGGGACACAATATTGGTTTACAGCATGTTCCATGCACAATTAAGTTGGTGCACGCTGATTGACTAGTTCTTAACCAATCAGAGCTAGCCAATACTTGAAGAACACTCTAGAATCTTCTCGTGTAAAAAAACTGTACTAACGTTTTTCCTACTGTGGTTCTTACTTCCATCTAACCTTGTTATTTGGAATATAATCTCTTTCCTATTCAATCGTATTCTAATTTAAGGAGTTGTCGAGTGAATTGGTGTCGAAGAATACTAAGTCATAGGAATAGCCGGGTTGTAACAGGGCAGGATTATAACAGTTTATCAAGAAGTAGCTTAGATAACAACAATACCAACTGAATTAAGTTGAATCTTCTCATTGATGTTTAAGACTGCAACTGATCAGTCTCCTATTGGTAAATGCACATACTGTATTCTTTTTAATAGGGAATTGTAACCTTCAACATATATGTCCTATATTCATACCCTTGTAATTGTATGCTTACTTGTGTGTACGTTCATCATTCAATATTTCATTAAATGTTTGTCTCTTTTACATTATGCACTATCTAGTTTGAGCTATATTAGTGTTTGTAATGAGTAGTATAGGTGTGTTGAGATGTTTACCTTTTCTGCTTGGTCTCTCTTTTCCGCTTCCAATTTTTATGTCTGTTTGAGTAAAAGATTACTTGAAGTATATTCATTCCATTCAGTCCGTCTTTTGCTTCTTATTACTGACATTACTTAAATGAGATTAGTTTAAGAATAGCATAAGAAAGTAAACTGAAAGTCTATATTCATGGCATAATCAATCGTTTATCTAAAACGGAGTCGTATCAAGGGGTTACTGTAAACTATTTGTAATTGTAAGTAAATAGCTATTGAAATAACGTTAACTATCATGATATTAAATGGTTATTAATATGACATAATTACAGATATTAAAATCGATAAAAAAACGAATGCAACACTCACTTACATTTTCAAGTTGACTATGATGTTTAACTTGGATTTCTCGTATCAATGTTGTTGCAGTGAATTTCATTCTTATAGGAGGTCCCTTAGAAGAATAGTTAGAAGAATAGTTGATGACATTTATTCTGACCAACTGAATTTAATTAAAAGTTGTGTAACCTTAGATTTGGAAGTGAATAATGATTACTTCACTTGTCTGCTTAAATAATGTAGTTCATTCCATTGTACAAATTAACACACTGTACTATTCGACGAAAGTGACGTAATGGGAATGTTTTTGGTTACAGTATGTTTACTGATAAGAACACAGAACTGTTGGAATTCAGTTCTATTAGGCGAGAATCAATCAGCTGATTCTAAGTTTTTTGATGTTTGAGTGGTAGCTACAGTGGAATACAGGGTGCGTGTTTCGTTCTATTTGGGACTCGTCAGTTAGGCGTACTCAGTACCATTTGCTTTGAACGTCATCGCGTTATCTAATTAGCTGCTGAGGACAGGTAGCCATTAGTTCGTGCGATGTGGCAAAGTTTAATTCGTTTTTTGTATTGGTTGTTTGAATCTCCTCACTAATGTTTAGCACTGCAATCCATTGATCTCTTATTGATGTATGTGTATCCTGTGAGGATTGCTTCGATATTGCCTTAAGTCACAAGCATTATAAGTATAGATGGATGGTGGCTAGTAATGCAATACATCACGAACAGTATTGGGTTCGATTCCCGTAATGAGCAATAACTCTGAGATGGAGGCATATCCAGCTGACGAGTCCCAAGTTTGGTGAAACACGTGTCTTGTGGTCCACCACTAGCTACTATCCACCTCTGCTTATAATGCTTGTGACTTAAGGGGATATCGAGGCAATCCTCACAGGATGTACATACATCAGGAAGAGATTGATCGATTGCAGTCCTAAACATTTGTGAGAGGACTCAAACAACTAATACAAAAATGAATTAAATTCTTTGATGTTTGTGTAAAATAACGATTGTTTTATACACTTCCATTGGTTTTATCCTATTTCTAACACAATGGTCTTAATAAAATTTACTGCATTGACTTATCTTCAAGGACTGGTCTATATTTAGCTACTAAAGTGGGCTTTGGATAAATCTAAGAACTTTTCTTTCATATAGTACTTTTAGTACTATTACTGAGTCTAATTAGTGTTGCTATGATACTTACAATGGTTCGTGTTCTTGTGGAGATACGAAAAAATGATTCAACAATGAATTGCAACGCAGGTTACAGAGGTGATCACAGGTTTGGCAAATGTTTATCCTGTGATAAACGTCACTTACGTAATTTATATGTCCTTCGTCGTGCAAAATGCTTCAATTGTGGTAAAATGGAACACATCAAGTTGGCCTGTTAAGCTACAGTTTGTTTTGTCGCTAGTGATGATAAACCCTGTAGTTTGGGTTTTACTAATGTGGGTGTTTCTAATGACCATTTATCTTTATCCACGATTCCGAAGGGTAATTTACATATTGAGAAGTGATTATATACACCCCTTGGTTTATGCCATGACATTTTGTTGACACAGGTAGTATATAGTTGACTGCTTTTTTCAAGAACTTGAAGTCGTTAGATTATAACGTTGTAGTGCTACCCACTGAATTATCTTTATTGGGGATTACTGGACACAAACTTCCCATACGAAGGTGCTGTAAATTGCCAATAGGAGGTAATAATTCTTCATATATACCTTGTGAGTTTTTAGTTAGTGAAACGAGACCGTCAATACTAGATTTGAACAATTTGGAAAGTTTTTAAATAGAGCTGTGTTTATTAGTATCTAAAAAAAATTTTGCTGCTTTACTGAAAGATTTGATAGCTGAGTGTGCTAAGTGCAGAGGAGGAATGAGAATTCAACCTATAAAACTTCAAGTACAGGGTGGTTCAGTCTTTCTTAAAAGATGAATAATTCCTTACGTGTTGTAACGTGTGGACTGCAGGTTAGATGAAGCAGCGTTTTATCGATCGATTACAGTGACACGTCAAACACGTACGGACGGCCTAGGATCCTGATTGGTCTTGCTTCACTGTCTAGCCCAGCCAGTTGAGTCCAGAACGCAAATCACAGCCTCTGAGGTATGAACCAATATATTTCAGACATACTCTGTTTATATATTAAACAAACAAACCACATCGTACCATAAAATGGAAAACAACATTTACACAATGTTTGACAGGTGAAATAAATACTGACAAATAGGGAATGTCCATTTAACGTCCAAGGACACCATTAGACTTAACACGATAGTTATTGGTATATTTTTCTGAACATCCTAACATCATGGTCCTCGTGAAGTAGTACACAAGACCTTAAGCGATTTTTATGCAAAAAGTATGAGTAAACAGATCTCGTCTCCGGCATGGGGCACTCCTATTGTTACGCTCTTGAAGCCTGATGGCAAGATGCCTAGGATATGTAATGGTTATAAATTGACGCTGGACTCCTGTTCTTTGAAGCAAACGTGCACGATGAGGGAGCTGAAGATATTCTTAATCGATCTCATGTTTCTAAGTTATTCTCGAACGTTGGCTTAAATGGTGCTTATCTTCAAACTCCCTTATATCAATCTTCATCGACTTTTACAATAATTAATACTCCTTTTGACCTATTGAAATACATCTTCCTCCCATTTGGTTCAAATTTTTCTTCAAACATATTTCATGAAGTGATGAATAATGTATTCAGTGATCTTAATGTATACCCAGTGCTATAAGAAAATGATGCAATGCTAATCTGAAACGTAGATTTTTTGCCTATTTTTCGGAGCGGGATAGTTTGTCCAATGCTTCTGATAGTATTTTGTGCTTAAATGATCGTGTTGTTATTCCCCCTTCGTTACGCAAATCGGTCCCTGAAGATATTAATACTAGACATTCGTTTGTTGAGTAAATGATATCCTTCGCAAGGCTCACATGTTAGTGGACGGAGATAAACGCAGATATATGTCATACAGTTATAAAGGATGTAGGTATCATTATCAAGGTTTGATTTATTACTTTAGAATAAATTGAGCATTGGGTAGATTGTTATAGATAAATAATATATTTGTAATATCCCAATGAGTAGAAAATCTAATTTTATACTCATTGGGATATTACAAATATATTATTTAATTATAAAGGATGTTATAAGTCAAAAAATCATCCTTTAAAGTGAACTTTATGATCAGTATCGTCTGAGGTATGGCAGAGAATTCATGCGGACTAGTATGATCCGTTTCTCGGCAGACAATATGCACTTGTTGTCATTCATTCTTTTTCTGATTGACCCGAGTTTTATTTCTCAAATTAATCGAATGTTGACCTCACGATCTAAGTATTATTAAACGTTTTCAGTCAAGAGAGGGTCTTGATGGATTAGTGGCTGATAATGGATCTCGTTTTGCTGCAGACACAGTCAGTACCTAGCTGAATGGTATAAGTTACAGACATTCGTCCACTGCTCTCAGGTATTCTTGTTCTAATGGTTGGGCAGAAAGTTTCGTCAGGGCACTAAAAACTGCTGATAATTCGTTTGCTGCCTCAATATTTGATGAGCTGGAGAGAGAATCGGACAAATCTTCAATGCAATATAGAGATCATAAACACTATATATCAAATAAGATTTAATCAAAGCTATTGAAAGCAAGGATTTTCCGTTCGAATATGAGGTGTTGAGAGTCTGCAGATGTTACATATTATTGTGGAAATTATCTTCGATCAGCCACGAGGGTGGAGGAGAAGAACGTTAAAAAATCTATAGTTTGAGTTCTAAATATCGATGCTTTAAGTACACACAACCGATATGTTGATCAAACACAATTACAGGAACCAGGTGAGTTTGTTCCAATTTTGGTTGTTAGTTCCAATGCTTTTGCGTACATCCCAGTTCACACAGTCTATATCAAATACACAGACGAACAGACACATGGCGAATATACGTCAATTTATGCTCATCTAGTTTTACTTGCCTTTGACTGCATTTTTTCTGAAATTCTTAGTTAGCACACTAATTCTAAAACTTCTGATTATCGTGCCACAGTAATGTTAAGCATTGTATATCTATTATATTAGTTGGGAGTCCTTGAAAAAATACATTTATTTGGCCACAAAATCGTACGGTTTTGTTTTCATAAATAATTGTAATGCTGAGAAAGTTCCCGTTCTTGAAATTCTTATAGACTGTCTATATTCTTATTTTGGTTGATTATCAGCTTTTGTAATTATCAGGCTTTCACTAATTCGGAAAAGTCCTAAAGCGTGTAAATTTAAGTTTTTGGTTCTGATGGGTTTCCAGAGTGAAATCAGTGTAAGGAGTAACACAAAGATTTCTATTCTATTTATAACAAACCTGAAAGAAAAATATCTGCTGTAAATACCACTGAAGAAAAGATTTCTGAGAAAATAAGTAAAACGGAATTCCTCAGGTTGGCATATACTTCATTAAATCTAAGGGACTCAAACGATGGGTTAGCTCTGCTCATCCATAGAAAATATAATCCACTCAGTGAAGTTGGGACTATGTACACTTTATTTACTCTTATCCCAACGAAGCCATTTAATACGGGATTTGGTTACATACAAAAATATGTTCCGATCTTAACTTTGCCTAAATTTTTGGGTATCCTTACTTGGCTGTTCGCAAATAGGCAGAAAACATACCATTATTCAAATGCTCAGTTAAAAACCTCAGAGTTTAGACTGTGAAAGATAGAAAAAAAGACAAAAAAACAGGAGCAATCGTATTTTGATAGGACAATGTCCTATCTAATATTAGATTCAGAAATACAGTCCTATATTTGTGAAGTTATTTACGACCGTCAGTAAAACAAGTTTTCTTTCCGAATAAAGCTGCCCAATTAGACTTTAAAATTTAAAACAGGAAACAAAACATCCAGTAAATCTTTTGTAAAATTGAAAAACATCTCCAAAAGTTTACGTATTACGAAACCTACTGGAAAGTTGTTGGTTCTCCTCAGAAATATCTCTCGAGTTTTTAGGACACGCAGTCTCTCTCTGTCAACTTCACCAAAAACCTCTTGTGCATCACGTGAATAGAAAGCCAGTGACTTAACCATTGCAGAATTACCAGGGTCTTCACAAAGCTGTATGCTAATTTTACAACCTGTTATGTTGCCTTAGTATTTAGTTACTAACGATTGAGTGCATCACATGGCTTCAGATTACGACTTTCAGATAAAAATACTGCTCCGAAATCGAAGGCTTCATCTATAAGTAACGGAAAACACGGTAATAACGATTTAGTCCTTTTCGAGGTATTGAAAAGCTCAATCAACAAATAAAGGTGATTATCGCTTGATAGGAGTGTTCCGGGAGCGCATATCTATAAAGTTAACTTAATATGTTCACTTTGAGCTTTACATAATGAACGATAAACTGAATACCGCACAGGTAGATTCTATATGGCATTTTTAAAAATGTCATGTACGTGTTCCTATATCTACCAAGGTTTTCAAGGTTATACACGTTCCAATTTCAGTTTCAGTTTGGAAAGGACAGGAGGCTTGATGGTCTGTATTAGCCCTGGCAATGATGGTCTATCAGCTGATTCAAATTTTTTTTGAAAGAGTCGACGGATGGAGCCTGAATCACGTGCTGATGTAATGAATTCCGTTCGGTGATGATTCGATGGAAAAGTCGATAGTCAGCTGACAAGTAATTTGTTCTGGGCTTGTTAACGTTTTTGGAGAGTCCTTGTAAATTCTCTGTTTTGAAAGGCATGAAAAATGAGGTAGTATCAAGTTTAGATCTATTACCAAGCGATTTGAAAACTGTAATCAAGTCACCTCTAGTTCTTCGATATGACACCGGATTAGATTAGACAGTCGAGCATCATATGGGAGCTTCGCTATTCCGGGAATAAGCTTAGTTGCCGTTCTCTAAACATTTATTAAAAGCTCACAGCCTTTTTTAAGCAGGGGCCAGCAGCTTGTATGCAATATACAATTTGTCAATAATTAACTAGCAACGATCTATCGGTTTTCATTCATGTTTCTTTTTTCAGAAGTTGTTTCGAGTATTTACTAGTTTCCAACGATATAAACGCAGTAGCTTAACTAAATCACACGAAGTGCTCGCTCTGCCTCAAAAGAACAGTGGTATTTTCATAGTTGAGTTAATTTTATGGTTTATTAGTTCATTACTCATCGAAAGTGCTGCTCTCAGCTAAAACAATAACAAGAGTATTGTTTTTTCAACAGTAATCTGCCATCTGTACTTTTTAGTACGCTAGTTTTTTTAATTTTTGCACTTTTGGATTTGAAAATTTCTTTAGGTTACCATATCTTGTTTCTGAGTGTCTTTATGTCTCATTCTTTTGAAAACCCTTGAGTGAGAGCTGGACAGTGAAAAAAAGCAATTATCAACACCAAGGTTTTTGACACTCGGTTCTGAGTAATCCAGAATAGCCTCCACGTTACATTTTGGAGGGAGGATACGTTTGGAATCAATAGTGTGTCAGAAAAAGTCTACAGAGTCGACGCCGACTTGACAATTGTGAGCGTTTACAGCGATTCCATGTATGTCGGGTCCTTCAAAAGCAAGGTTGGATTAGTTTTTAGCCAGCCGCAGCTTGTAGGGAGCTAGTCGGTGTCCCGTTGACAATACAGTTTGTCCTGTAATCATGATGTGATGTGTATCATTGTCGGCCACACATGGAAGTTTCATTCGCGTTCGGTATAGTTCAGGCTCCTCTCGAGTATTTGTTGATAGTATGAATCGATCATGTGCCTTACTGTTACTGGGGGCAATTTGTAACTGGGAAAAGAAGTTATGCAAACACATAATTTTGGATTTCAATATAACAACCTCCGTTTGGGTGTGTCACTATGTAGATTGTGGCATGGAAACCTCTGCACCGACGAAGACCCAATGAAAGTGTTTGCATAAGCTCACGTTAAAATAAACGTACCGCTTACCATATGAGGTGACCAAATTCCTGTTTTCTGCATGTAAGTTTAGAACTGCTTTGTGCAGTCGATCATTGGAATTTGTTGGAAGAACGTCGACTTCTGCGCCAGGTAGCGAACTTTCGTAATCACATCAGCAACATATAACAGAAGTCTACATTTGCCGCCTATGATTGCCGTTAACACGTGCCGGTAGGGAAGTTTCTCGGAAGTTTCTTTGTGCCGGACGGTTTGGAGCTCGGAAAATTGCAGGGTATTCTGCAATTTCTGGATGACTTTCCATACTGGTTATGATACCAACGCCGGTCGGAGTTATCCATTTCTCGTGGTCTAGAGACAGAAAGCTTACGTGAAGTGTTTTTTAGCGCGGTGTGTGACCGTTTACGGTCGTTACAAAATTGAAGATAACATGTAAGTGAATTACATAATTCCGTGATGTCATTCTAGGTCATATGAGGTCTTGTAGTAGCATTGGACCATAACCACACTATCCTCAAAACTGAATACGAGATTACTCGGAAAATAGGTATTCAATATTTAACGCGAAGAAATACCTAACGATGGAGAAGGCGCGAATAATGAATTGAATAGACTAGAGTTGATCGAACGGCATGGCTCGGCCATGCAGGCATGGTCTCTGCTGAATGTTACCTTATATCTTCTTTTCATATTAAATATATTGTTCTTTCTCTAGCCTAACCTTGTTCTACATCATGTATTGGTAATTGATACGATACAGTGAGTTGGTGTAGTCGATGGTGTGACTTCCACGTAAGATCTTATGGATTAGGCAGTCATATCATGACAAATCTACAAATTTAGGATTAGGTCTATTATTAGAGCAGTACTAATATCATAGTAGACCATAAGTTCTACAGTCTTTCTTTGACTGAAAAAAACCTCAGCATTAGATTTCGTGATTTCTAAGATGTGGTCAGCAGATGCAGCCAGATAATAATAATAATAATAATTTATTCTCAAATAACAGTTTGTTACATGAGGCATGACAGTTTACAGGCAAGATCAAATTGTTATGTATGATACAATATCCACTGTATTGAATTACTCAGCTGGGTTGATAATTTAAAAGATATGAATGTAGATGGTTTTAGTCAGTATCACCGTTGGTGCGCTTCATAAAAGTCGCGTTGTGAATGTGCAACTGATGGTCAAGGATAGCTCCATTGAAGGTATGAGCTTCTAGAAATCGCAACCTCATGTCCCTTTGGAGTATCCAAGGCTTTATCGATGACATGAAGCAACGAAAGTTCACATTGATAGACTAACATAGGCGATGATAAAAATGAAAGAGAATAAGTATAGAATGCAATAATAAGGATTATGGTGATTAGTTGCGTTATTCAAAGTCTTGCCCACCAGTGTAGATCACTAACGTAGATGATCTATGTCAAAATGATTGGAGGCCTACTCGAGTTAGACGTGAACGATGTGACAAACTAGCTAATGTCGAAATCACACCTCATAGTCAGCACCTTATGTGGACTACCACATCAACGTATCAAGGTACCATAGATGCTTTGAAGACTGTACAACACAGAGGACGTTATTACAGAAATATATTAGTTAAAGTAGATACAATCGAAAGTAAGACCACTGCCGCATGGGCCAGTCCATGGTATACGATTAACTAATGCGCGTTGGTTGTCCCTGACCTTGACGAGGATCGATGATCCGCTTGATATTCAATGACCCGACTGCCTGATGATTTGGCTAGGGCTTAGTGACATTTCGCTGGCTCTACATTATTTTCTGCAGTATTATGGATCATGCTACTCCATCAACCAGTCAAACTAATACTGAGTGTCCATTGACTGTGGATACCGGTGATGTCTTCGAAAGGATTATGAGACCCAGGCAGCTGACAAGCTAGGAGCAGGTCAGAGAGGCTATCGATCTGTTGCAAAAGGTTTGTTATTGATAATACACCACCTAAAAACAATAGATGACATGGACTCATTATGCTGTACGTGAAAGCAAGCTGAACAAACAAAAGACGGAAATTCGCTACGAGTATATAGTGAATGTATGTTCTTTTGGCCTTAAAAAGAAGCCGGGTGGCCATGGTGAGAGAGTAAAAGGGTAAATGATGATTATTATTGTTTTCAATTGTGATAGATCAAAGTTTAGTGGTTGTAAGTCCATGTTTCGTTTACGGTATGACGTGAACCGATTCGTCATATCGTCATCGAGGATGCTACATATCCATCCTTGTGATGAAAAGTGTTTAAAAATGATCCGTGGTTCCGAAGATTAAATGAAGATCGGTTGAAGGTTGTCAGGCCGATGGTTGAGACTGGGAGTAATGCAAATTCAATAGTTAAGTATGTCGAAGACCATTTTGGAAAGACGGTTCCCTGAAGTTGTGTGTTTGGATTCAACATACAACACGAACAGGAGAAAGTAATTAAAATTTTCCTGCCTACTAATTGTCTTTAGTTATAAACTATTTCAGTTATGTTTGCTTGGATCAAGGAAGAGAAGAAGGTTGATGTGGTATGAATACTGGATCATTGTATGAAGATCATGAATGGAATCAGTCAAACGGAAACGTTTGTGCTGGATTGTGCAAGAACCATCGTATCCGCTGTTGAAATAACGCACACTACTGCTCACATAGCTTTATGCCCTTTTCACGTGTAAGAAAACCCGCAATCCAATAATCAAGCAGTACTTATGTCAACTGGTGCGTGAATAAACAGTAGCTAAGTTTAATCAGACACGTCGCATAATCAGTGTATGCAGCAGACGCATCGCAGCTTACTTAAACAAGAAGTGGGTGAGTAGGAAAGAAACTTGGGCCGCAGTTCTCAATAGCAATGTCGTTACGTTGGGTAACAACACGAACAACTGGGTTGAAAGTGTGCACAGACAACTGAAGAGAAAGTTGTCTAACCGAGACGCGTTGAGAAATTGTATGTGGAAGACATTTACATAGCAGAAGCAATTAGGCAAACGTAGGTCACTACAATCCAGCTTACACTGTCGTTACAAACGCAAATACATAGCTGAAGATTGCTTAATGACTCTACTAAGCAAGCTAACCACCTATGCTGGCTTTATAGTCCCTAAAGACTATAAAAAAGGGGACTGGTGTACATCAAGAATAGCCAGTCACCCTTTGTGTTCTT